ACCGAAATGGGTGCTTTCCAGGTACATGGCTGATTCGGTTGACATGAAATTTTTCATTTCCTAGCGGAGTACCCGGCAGCCTATCAGTGAACCTGGCTCTCAGACTCTGCTTTCAGCRTCTCATTTCATCGGCACTGAGCCACTCTATAAAATATTCCGGGTTCTCGTTGTGCGCGGTGTCAAATAACGCGTTCATATCTTCAGTTGCCGTCCGGACGAGCTAACAAAAAGGATATAATCTTTCGCTCTTCCGTGGGTCCCAGATTCCCGAATGCTCTGCGTTTAGGACAGATTGGTAGCAAGCCTGTCTCAAGTGATGACAGATTGGTAGCAAGCCTGTCTCAAGTGATGACAGGGTCGTTGCATAAGACGGGCTAGAGGTGACAGAGTGAAGACCGCCGGAAAAGAAGAGGGGTTTTACTAGGCTACTCTTGTATGCTCAATGCTCATTGATTATCTCTTCCACCTTCTCTTCTGTCTATTCTCCCTCCACTCTCTTTGTCCTTGGTAACGAGATATTGTTTCAGATATCACTTCACATTAGCTGGAGACATTGTGCAGATCTGAGTCTACTTGTGCTTCGACGTCTGTTGAGTATTTTCCAGTCTAGGCTCATTACATTTTGGTATCGGAGCATACTCCTTAATAGCAATCTGTTTCCACGTGCCGACATGGCACCGAGGTAAGTGGGAGATGCCACATGTGCAGGACGAAACACGTTTATGAATGTGCGTGGTCAGTACCGCAGGTCTAGACGTTGAGTACTGCACATGCGGGCAACCTCCATTGAAGATGATGGTGTGGCTACGCTGAAGACTTTGAGATACCGGCAAGAGTTTCGTTGGCAATAGGCTCACGTGGTGCTGGTCTAGAGGGAGAGAAATGTGAGATCAGAACCGCTGATGTGGCGCACTGCCTACATGGAATGCTAATGTGACATTCTGGCAAGGCATGGTCTGACGTGGCATGCCAGTGTTGTGTATGTTGTAGACATGCGTTGTTGATGGGGCATCCCCCCCTCGTAGACCTTTTAAGTCCTTGACGCTGACGTGGTAGACTCTATAGAGTTGCTGCGTTGGCATGCCAGGGATGACACGTGGCATGCAGAACACGCTGGATAATCGGTAGAAGGCGCCCACGCCAAAACCTTCTCGGTTTTGGCCGCCCAAAGTTTACCCGTTTGGTACTACCGGCCCAAAGACTTGCATGTGGGGTACTACAGGCCCACACGTCGCTCCAAGGGCCCTACCGGATCATGAATCGGGCGCATTAACTGCACCAGATTCATTTTCATGTAAAAGAGGCTGGGCGAGGTAACTCTGAAGTATTGAATGAGACCCGCGTACGCGATTTTGAAAAAGAAGGGCCCTACCGGTTTATGAATCTGGCGCAGACACAGCGCCAAATTCTTGAACCGGTGAAAACAGGCCCAAGGAGATGTGGCCACGGCGCGAAGGCGCCTTTCACCAAGGGGAACGTTGTTTGGGCCGGTAGTACCAAACGACCGAACTTTGGGCGGCCAAAACCGAAAAGGTTTTGGCATGGGTGTGACGCGCAACCTCACGCCCTGTGTTGTCTTCCGTTCGGAGTGTTAGCCATGCGGAAAAAGGCCTAGAAAAACAACAAGATGGGGTGTGCCAAGGATTTTTGGAAATTGAGTGTGGAGACACAGACGGAACTGAAATCCCCCGTGTGGGTCCGATGAAGCAAGTCGATCGTTTTTCGCGCGTCGCAGAATGCGCGCGGACAAGGCGGGAGGAGGGAAGAATCTAAATTCAATCCAAAAAATATTGTCGCGCTTCCCACCGGGCTACGGCCCGTCGTTTAGAACGGAAAGGCTTTGGCACGCTTCGCGTATCCCGTTTCCGTATCAAGTCTCGTCATTGTTCGTTCGTTACTTCCGAGTCTGACGTGGATGGTGTCAGTCGTGTGGCTCTCTCCTTGTGCTCGTCTTCACTAATGAAAGCCTTTCAATTCGTAGCGATCGAAACGCATGCACTCAGTGCACAAGGTTCGAGGCCAATGAGGCGCTACTGCCGTCCACGGAATGACGATCAATTCGTTAAATGGGAGCAGTGTCGAGTAGGGTGGGAAGTGGGTATGGATAATGACAAAGCCCGCATCTACAAATCCAGAACAACGATTTTCGGGAGGGAAGAAGTAGTGTCTGCCGATTCGTGCGATGGCTTCTCGTACGTCCCACTCACATACACTTGTCCTTTCCTCTTTATAGGGAAAAGGCCGTGTCGGAATGGGGGATATGGGAGGCTGGCGCCTAATCGAAGGGTACTGCTCAGTCCACATATCAATCAATTGCAAAGACCTTGAGAGGTCATCAAGCGAAGAAAAATGCTTGCGCAACTTACAATCAATCCCTTTCGATACTAGAGAGAGAGTGAAAAGAAAGTGTCTCCTCAGCTTGAAGCATGCATATAGCCGAGAGATCTATTCGTGGCTCGGGTTAAGCGAGCCAACGCGGCGTGTGATTCGGCTGCTGATGTCGTGCAGCATAAGGCAGATGGCATGCGCAGCTCTTTCAGAGCTACAGATCTAAACACTCTTGCATTTTCGAACACAATCCCGACGACGATCGTCTAATCAACACGAAAAAGACTCACACATTTCCATACATGCGTTCACTGTAGAAGGTGCGAAAATCGGACATGCATCGGAAAAGATGGGTCGTATTGCACAGTACACACGCATCCACCGTTCACAAGACAAGAAGGCGGGGTCCTTGCGTAGGAGGATTACCCAGGAAACTAATGGAAGAGTTCCGGAAGAAGTTCTTTTAAGCAAGGGAAGCTCACCAATTCGCTCCTACTCAGGAGAGAAAGCGAGAGACATTCAATCGAGACACATCATTATTTAAAAGTAGAGAAATGAGAGGGGGGGGGGGGGAAGAGAGTCGAGATAGGTGATGACCAGATCTGGAAGAGAAACATTCGACATGACCGCCATGCACTCACGCCAAAGGTAAAGATCCACAACAACAAAGGCGCATTTGCCGTTAATTCCAATATGGCCCCGGGCCAATTACTCACTGAACTCCAATCATCGATCCTCAAACCTGCATCGACAATCCTGGCCGCCGCGTGCTAACTCCCACCATTGCGATCGTCACACCGCTGTCGTAAACTGGACGCGGTTCGCCCAGATCCCACAGTCCGTCGTGGCGATCTAACGTGCAACCGGTCAGCCTATCGCCAGCCCGACAGGACTTTCCGACTCGCATCCACACACTCTGCCTAGCCACTGCTTCCCTGAAGCTGGCTTAGGCGTCGAAAACGTAAGAGAGATTTGCGGGCGCGCTTGCGGGTTTTATGGTTGCGAGATAGGAGATAAAACGGGGAGAGAATGACGGGAAGGCGGGGGTGTAGGAGGAGAAGGAGGAGAAGAAGGAGAAGACTTTGAGAAGAGCGCTTTGAGAACGCCATACTGATTCCTCGGAACTCAAGGTTCAACCAATCAGATTCGTCACGCGATAGGAAGGTCCTATCGATCCACGCACCTGATTGGCGAGCAGGAGTTATCGGGGGATCGACTGGGCGTCGTACGCCAGACTCAGAGGGTGAGAAGAAAAAAGGCGCGAGAGGTGCCGCGAGACGGGTCCAAGATTCAGACGATCAAGAAAGGGAAGTGGGCGCGCAAACAGCCAGATGGGGGAGGGGGAGGAGAGAAAGAAACAGTTACGGGGAGAGAGAAAGAGGAAGGAGAAGGAAAGGGAGCGGGGGAGGGAGCGCTACAGGGGGCCAGAGGGGAGGAAGCTATGCATGCACGGCGCCGTCAACAAAAAAAGAGAAAAAGGCACCGAAACGGTTACGTCTTGCTTCTATCCTAATTCAAAATTGAAATCACTATATCCGCGCGTGAAAGAGCGACGCGGGAAAAGAAGATCCTACGCCTAATAGTATCCGGACAAAATTCCGAAAGTTTTCTCTGACGCAACCAAGAACATTCACTTACTCGAAAAGGACACGTTGAAGTTCCGCTTATCACAGAATTCCCAGGCGCTGTGCCCAATTCCCAGTGCACTTGCTAAAGCGTACGTAAATTCCCATGTATTTCCCGACTTTGCAAAAAGAAAAACAGAACCCAGAAATCGAAAAAGCTCTAAAAAAAAAAAGAAAAATGTGGCATCTGAAAGCAAGAAATAAAAACGGGGTTTTCCTGGGGTTGGTATGATACAAGCAAAAGAAACGGTATGAAAGATGGCACGGGTTCGGGAAGTGGTTTGTCACATATGTGACGCGCAGGGGGTTCCAAAATTATGCGATCTCCTGATTGCATGGCATGGCGAAAGAAAGAGGGGAGAAAAGAGTGATGCATGAGGAACCAACCATATCATCAGAGCAAAAAAAGTACACGGAACGATAACTGGATCGCGGATGAGATGGCGACAACATCCATGGGAAGATCTCCGCAGCCCTGTTATATGCAACCCTCTGCCTCGTGGAGATCGTCTAGGTGACGCCATCATGGTCCTCCTGATATCCGTGTGCTCTGCACCGCTGTTTGTTGTCGTCCGTCGAATCAGCGCGTAGGTTGACGTCATCGTCGATGGCGTGATCTTCGTGAAGCTTACTGATCCGTGCCGATGAAGGGAGGAGAGGAAGGGGAGGGTAGGTCAAGTGAGTGGGATCTACCTCCTAGTTGGAATAGGCCTGTAGAGGCGGTACATGGAGGGGATCTCGCGGGGATGACGGGGAGGAAGTGGGGATAGGAAGTGATTCATCCCTTCTATCGTCACCGGGAGCTCCTCATATCCGATGATTCGGTGAAAGCGGRAGAAATAATCGCCGCTGCGGGGAAGGGAAGCGAGGTAGTCGCGATAGAAAGATCTCGAAGTGGCGGCAAGCGGGGATTGTCCCCGTGGCAACGCAGTAAACTTCTACCATGTTGCATCGATTCCATGCAGCAATGAACAGCAGGAGATGCTAGCAGAACGTGGGGGCAGCGGATTGAAGGGAGGCGTGGGGGTGGACGGTGGCGAGAAGACGGGTAGAATAGAAATCGCGGAAGAGATGGGGATGGAAAGGATGGGAAGGGAAGGTGACGGGGGTACGAATCTGCTCAAGGGTGAGGAAGTCACGGGGTCGGCGGGACAGCATCCGAGGACGAATGCCTATCGCCCGCATCGGTACGTGGGCGAACTAGGGGATGGGTGGGGCTGGAGGAGGAGGGGGATCGGCTCCGTTTCCGTTGCGTGGTACTTGATGTGGCGGCTGCAGGGTCGCCATCTTTGGGCTTCGACGGCTCAGGATCCCTGGTCGGATCGCTACCGACGTGCAGGCTAACTTCGCTGGCGAACTCCAGCTGGCACTTCCTGGTGGCAATTTCTTCGCGCTTTCGCGCCGCTCCCGGATCTTCCTCCTCTTCTCCTTCGCTCAGCTCGCCCTCGCTATGTTCACTATAGCTTCCCTCTTCCGATGTTTCCTCGTCCTTGTCGTCTTCTTCTTCGTCGTCGTCGATCACCACTTCGTCTTCCCTCGGATAGAAGGCGTGAGGGATGATCTCGTACGGCTTCACATACTCCTGCCGCGATGGTAGGGTATCCTCGTCCCTAGGTTCCTCCAAGCACGTGGTCCACTGAAGGTACGGATCCAATGATCGCTCGAAAATGTTCGGAGCAGGACTGTCGTCACTCTGAAAATAGATGTCGGGCGAGAGATCGTCTGCCAATTGCACGATCGATGCGATAAGCTCCAGCGCAATTAGGTCGCATCGACCTGGTCGTACCGATCCGAAGAGAAAGCCAAGAAGATCTCCTTCCACGTTAGTCCTCCAAGCCTGTATGATCAGCAGCTCCGGATTCTCGATCCACGTGGGATGCTCACTAGTGCCCGTCCACGTCACCTGTACTCTAGCCAAGCAAAAGGACAACTCCTCAAAAGTTTCGCGCCACAATCGCCAATGTCCAAGATTGATAAGAGGGACTGAAAGAGGCTCGAACGAGAAGGAAAGAAAAGGCTGAAGATCGGATTGCCAGAGTGGGGAAGAGAGAGGGGAGACCAAGGATAGAGAGAGGAGCGAGAAGAGCAGCGTGGTTCATTGGAAATGGGGGAAGGGGACGATGGTCGGGATCACAATTGGCCGCACGCGCGGTGATCGGCGAATACTGTCAAGATCCGATGCAAAGATTGTGATGATGTTATACCCCTATCGGGCGAGGACGTGCTGCCACACGTTGGACACTTGCTCTGTCCACTCGTGCAGCGAGGCCAAGATCGCGGTATGCCACAGTGGATTGGCCGAGCTGATGTCGTCGGTGAATGCTGCCACCGTGGTGACGTGGCTCGTTCTGGGACCCACTCGTCGATGAACTGCGGTAACCTCCACGAATACTATTGCGCGAGGACTTCCTTCGATTCGAAACTTGGCGGCGATACAGATACCTTCGTCGCAGAAGAATCGCATCAAACGCCGAAGATCCGCATTGAGTCGAGGGTGACAAATTTGCTGAATCTTTAAGATGTGGCCACGTGGCTGCAACAGCTCAATGTCAACAACCCGCTCCGTGATAAAACTTATGGCGAGGTCAGAGAGGAGGGCGAAGGACAGGAGGGAGAAAAACGGGAGAAAGTTAGGTCGTCGTTCTCCTCGCTTTCCGAGGAAGAAGAGGGAGGGAGATTGGAAGGAGGAAGGAGACAGAGGTAGGAGGTATGCCGGACGATGCGCACCGTGTTGGCGCTAGCCTAAGGCGCGATGCGCACCGTGTTGGCGCCGTTCGGTCCGAGTTCGACAACGAGAAAACAACCAGAGAACTTGGGAGCGAGTTTCCAGTCGCGTGCACATTTACGTACCTGCACTAGGTCCCGTAATTTATATTGGTACTAGGGCCCAGCATTTCCATTCCGGGCCTCGTAGCTACGGACCTGTCTCCTGTGGGCCAGTTCGGTCATCCTTTGTCTTTTTCGGGCTAGCTTCGGGACGGCCCGTTCCATTAATTCGGTGTATTTTTGGCCTTGGCCTTGAGAACTGCATGCGTGTCTCTACCCCCTTCTTCGGCAATTTTCGAGTTACCTCGGTAATCGACACAAGGGAGGCTATTAGTTCGAAGTTGAAAGGGGGTGAACCCTGGAGACTCATGAGGGGTGGCCTGGTGGATCCCGACGATCTGATATACGATCTTGGGCTAAGGACGCGTGTCGTGTGCCGCTAAGTTCCTGCGAAGGGCGGTTTTAATCATATGGTTGGCATTCTCGGCCAACCCATTCGACTGGGACACGTGAGGTGCCGTACGTCGGAGCGTGACGCCCCTTCGTGCAAGCAGTTCCTCTACCTCTCCTTTGAATTCCGACCCATTTTCAGTTAGAATTTCTCCGTATCTAGATGGGTATAGAGGAATCGTTCGATGTATGTGGCCATTTTGGCGGCCTTTCGGGGATTACAAGGATAGACTTCGATGTATTTGGAAAAATGGTCAATTAAAACTAACAGGATGGAATATTCGCAGCGGTTTGGGCCAGGTGGCACATCAATATTGGGCTGGTCCATACTGACCCGCTGGAAAGGACGCTCTACTTCCTTTGGTACGATCGTGTTTGGTCCCCGTATAGGGGCACGATCAGCGGCACAGACCTGACAGTTAGTGACAATGTACTTGACGTCATCTCGTATATTGGACCAGAACCATCGGTTCTGGTCTACAGTTGCCTCCGTGACACGTATCGCAAAATGAGCGGCCTGTTCTTCGTGAGCAGATCAGATCCAATTGTATCTCTGGAATGGATGAGGAAATGTCAACCACGAACCTGACCCATCACTTTTACGCTTTTCCAAATGACCGTTGATCCATCGATACTCCCGAGATCTCTCGGTTGCCCTACGTCTGTCGTATTTGGTGAGGTGGCCCAACGATAATGCCGCTAATTTTGCTAATAAAATTTTATCCGTCCAAACCTCTGCTCGTCGGTATTTTTCGTCGTATTCAGGGTCGTCCGTACGGGCGGCCTCGAATGGAACCTCGATGGGGAGCTTGTTTGTTCCACACAGGGGGCACCTCCATTCCTTGCTACTCGTCCGATATCGACCGCAGGCCCCGAGCGCACGGTTCACACACGTGGAACATTCTACCCAATCGACAAATCCGGTCTTGAAGGGATGACAGTCGACCCTATAAACTTGTGCAATACACGTGCAAAAATAGCAGAATTTATCAGGAAGGGGGGCGAAGAAAGCCGAGGAAGTAAGAGGGGCAGAGTTAGTAAGAGAAGAGGGATTGCGGAGGCGAGTGGGGTAGTCATGATGGCAGAGGAGGAGGGGATACAGGGAGAGCAGAACAGAACAATTAGTCCTCGTGTCACTTACTGCTTCGATAAGATCTCCACTTGGCCGTTCAGAGGTCCGATCTCCTGTTCGGGTTCGTTCCACAGAATTACCTCCTCACCTTTTGGAACCTTCTCACGCCTGTGCAGCTGTGTCAGTCCATCCGCATTTTCGTGTCTCTTGTGCTTTCGATGACGAATGTCAAAGAACAGAGGTCCGATCTCCTGTTCGGGTTCGTTCCACAGAATTACCTCCTCACCTTTTGGAACCTTCTCACGCCTGTGCAGCTGTGTCAGTCCGTCCGCATTTTCGTGTCTCTTGTGCTTTCGATGACGAATGTCAAAGTCCATGCTCTGCAGCACCGTTGCCCATCGCCCGAGCAAGCCCGAGTAATCCTTCGGTTTCTTCAGAGCCAACAGGGGCTCATGATTAGTCACCAGGGTGAATTTTCGCCCGTACAGGTAAGCACGAAAGTGACTGATTCCCTAGAGAGCCGCATAGCATTCACCCGTTGGAGCGGCGTAATTGCGCTTGCAGGCGGGCACTGATTTGGACGCATACTCCACTACAGTCTCGAGTCCGCTCGGTCCCACCTGGGCAAGGATCGYTGAAATCACCTCTGGCTGCTAGTCGGTGATGAGAACAAAAGGTTTTTCGGAATCCGGTCTTATAAGGACCGGAGCCGAAATGAGAGCAGCCTTGAGTTCGGTATCCAGATCAACGGCTGATCCTTGCGCAGCAGATTTCTGAGGGGTCCCACAATCGTCGCGAAGCCCTTGATAAATCCTCGGTAGTACGAGGCTAGGCCCAGAAAGGCGCGAACTTGCGTAATAGTCGTAGGCACCAGTGCGTCCCTGACAACAGCCACCTTCTGCGGCTCTGGTTGGAGTCCTTTGTCTATCACCACGTGCCCCAGGAAGAAAATGGTGGTGAGGAAAAACTGACACTTCTCAAGCGCCACCTTGAAACCTGCGTCTCGTAACGCATGCAGTGCCCATTCGATGTGCTGCACGTGTCCCTCGTAGGAGCTTGAATACACCAAGATGTCATCCATGTACACAATCACGCAGTAGTTGATGATGCTCTGCGCCAGGCGAGTTTTCCGCACGAATTTCTAAAAAGTCATGTTCATGGCCCGCTGAAAAGTCGCAGGGGCGTTGTAGATACCCATCGGTCATCGAATCCATTGCCACGTACCTTCAAAAAGCACAAATGCGGTTTTCGGACGATCTTCTTCTCGGACAAGAAGATGATGGAATCCATGGCGAACATCAAACTTGCTGAAAAATCGAGCACTCCCAATCGCATCCAACAATTCATTAATCTGGGGGAGGGGGTACACATCTTTAATYGTGATATCATTCAATTTTCGATAATCAATACAAATACGAATCCCTTCGGCCTTTTTSGGTACGATTACTACGGAAAAAGACCACGAACCTATAGCARGTYGGATCCATCYATTATCTTCAAACTCCTTAATCCGCTGAAAAGCAGCAACTCTTTGAGTTGGCGAGTATCGGTAGGGAGCGCAACTAATGGGTGGATGATCTCCCATGGAATGGCATGCTCAATCATATTAGTTAAGCCGATGTCGTTATCGTGTATGCTCAATACTTCTTCGTAGCCATTTAACACACGAATTATTGATTTCCAAAGTTCCGCGGGGACGTAACCTGGCAAGGTGATTGTAGATTCCCTGAAAATCTTAAGGGGCATATCAATCCAATCAACCGGCCGTTCCCGTCGATCATGGACACTAGAAAAAATGGAACTACTGGTGCGAACAGAGAAGACAGTTGCTATCATCTCGGACTCAGCAGGGCTGATCATCTCTGTTTCTTTAGTTTCAGCGTAACCCATGGGTCAGGCTTGGGATCAACTTTATCGTTCGGGTGGAAACTCGCAAAGGAACAGTTTGAGGTCTTCCCCTGGTTTGTGTGAGTACCAGCTGTCTCGAATCGAAATGCAGACGTGCACCTACCACCATCGCCCAAGGTAATCCCAATAACACAGAATAGGAACGTACATCTATTACAAGCGCGTTAACAACGACGTGTACTCACCCGACTTTTACAGCCACGTTCTCGATAATGCCTACGATGTTCATTGCCTCCTCGTCGGCAGAGACGCAATTGTCTTTGCCAGATTGAGGAAGAACGGATCCCAGTCGTCTTATCTTTTTAACAGTATTCGGTGACATGGCCACGACAGAAGACCCTGTGTCAATAAGGGCATTAAACGGCTTGCCCCAAACTTCACAGTCACATTCCGCACTTTTCCACAATACTGGCCGAGCTCGTACGAAGTGATATTTTTTTGCTAAAGAGATCGCTTCTATTCGTGCGGCTTCGGGTTCTTTCGTGTCAGGCTCGGGAGGTGCAACCTCCTCGTTTCCTTCCTTCTTCTTCAACATCCGTTATATGCGCCGATAGGTGAAGCACTTTTGATTTTTCTCGCATTGTTGTAGAAGTTTATCGTTCGCTGCTCCTGATATGGTAAGCAGATGTCCAACTGGGATAGGTACACAAATATCTAATTACTTGAGCGTTTTCAATACATCAATATCTCCTGTCCGAAACTGCGGTCCAGGATTGGACTCGCGATCGACCCATTCGAGATCATCTTGGGCCGATCGGATCGCTCCGATCATTCCGGCAAGGTGAAGATACTCAAGGGGATCGACCACGTCAGCAGCGTCAGAGGAAGAAGCTCCTAAGGTCGACGCTATTATCACCAAAGAGGAAGGCTGTTCTGGAGCATACGCTACGAGCTCTTCTCCCTGGTCCGTGTCCATCACAGCGGCCAGTCGTCCTTGATTAAGGGCGACAGGGGCCGCAGCAGGAGGAGCTTGATGACGTTTCGGCTGCGGACAGTCTTGGGCAAAATGCCTGGGCTGTTTGCAGTTGAAACACTCGATCTTTCCTGCCGGATTAGCTAGATGGGGATACAGAGGGGCGAATCCTGGAGCAGGCGGAACAAGTAAGAGCGGAAATGATGAAGGGGCAGGTCGGGCAGGAGCCGGGTTAGGCTTAATGGGCCGACTCATTATCTGTTCCATCTGTTCCATGTGAGCCGCCTGCATTTGGATCAAGTTACTCATCCATTCGGACTGCTTGGTAGTGGCCGTATGGATCATCAAGGCAAGATGCAAATTGGTTACTGCCGGCAAGCGGGGTTCAGATGAAGTTCAGCTTCTAACAGCTGCGATCGATTGATTCACCGGGGGAGAGGGAGGAGAAGCAGTCGGGATATCGGAAACGGTTCCGCCGGGAAGGTTATGATCGGGGCGGGGATAAAACCATTCGACCGCCTGCAACCATGATCGTCTTTTAGCCGTTACATCCCGTATGGTATCCGTAATGTCTTCGTCTCCTTGGCTGATGTACTTTTTCGTATCAGCCAGGTCTAGTTCCAAAGCTTTAGTTATGATAGCCGCTAACAGGTGTGTTTTCGGCGGAACCTTTTTCTGTAACTTCCCTTTCAGTGTCGGACTTCGTAGGTGATCGACGAACAGGTCCCGAGCGGATTTCTCGTCTCGCCTGGATTTGTCCAATATGGTTTGAAACCGATCAACGAAATCAGGTAATTGTTCCCCTGGTCCTTGGGGTCGATTTTTCAGTACGTACCAGGCGGCATCTTCACTAACCGTATCGAATCGAGCCAAGAATGCTCGCTTGAAAGTATTCCAATCTACCCACGTATGTTTTCTAAACCAGTCATGTGAGGTGTTGCGAAGTAGTAGTGTCAGAACGCGGGGGAGATTGGACGCGCTGTAGTTCTGAGCTTCGACAGCTTCTAGCCAAGCCTCGGGATGGGTATGGTTAGGGAAGAAGGGGAAGGGGGCAGGGACGCTAACGATCACCCTAGTACCGTTCACCATTGGTATTGCTGGCGCAACCGTACTAGACTGAGACCAGGTTACGGGGCGATCTCGACGAGCTAGTTGAGGGTCTCTCTTACCACTCGCCTGTTCGACTTACTATCATCAGAACCGGCACGTGTCGGCTCCTTGCATAGGAAGATTACCCAGGAAACTAATGGAAGAGTTTCGGAAGAAGTTCTTTTAAGCAACGAAAGCGCATCGATTCGCTCCTACTCAGGAGAGAAAGCGAGAGACATTCAATCGAGACACATCACTATTCAAAAGTAGAGAAATGAGAGGGGGGGGGAGGAAGAGAGTCGAGATAGGTGATGACCAGATCTGAAAGAGAGACATTAGACATGACCGYCATGCACTCACGCCAAAGGTAAAGATCTGCAACAACAAAGGGGCATTCGCCGTTAATTCTAATATGTCCCCGGGCCAATTACTCACTCAACTCCAATCATCGATCCTCGAACCCGCATCGGCGATCCCAACCGCCGAATGCTAACTCCCACCATTGCGATCGTCACCCTGCTGTCGTAAAGTCGACGCAGTTCGCCCTAATCCCACAGTACGTCGTGGCGATCCAACGCGCAACCGGCCAGCCTATCGTCACCCCAACAGGACTTTCCGACTCTCATCAACACACTATGCCTAGCCACTACTTCCCTGAAGCTGGCTTAGGAGTCGAGAACGTAAAAGAGATTTGCGGGCGCGCTTGCGGGTTTTATAGTTGCGAGAAAGGAGATAGAAGTCGGATAGAACGACGGAAAGGTGGGGGTGTAGGAGGAGAAGGAGGAGAAAACTTTGAGAAGAGCGCTTCGAGAACGCCATGTTGATCCTACGGAACTCAAGGTTCAACCAATCAAATTCGTCGCGCGATAGGAAGGTCCTATCGATCCACGCACCTGATTGGCGAGCGGGAGTTATCAGGGGATCGACCGGGCGTCGTACACCAGACTCAAAGGGTGAGAAGAGAAAAGGCGCGAGAGGTGGCGCAAGACAGGTCCAAGATTCAGACGATCAAGAAAGGGAAGTGGACGCGCAAACAGCAAGACGGGGGAGGGGGAGGAGGGAAAGAAATATTTACGGGGAGAGAGAAAGAGGAGGGAGAAAGAAAGGGAGCGAGGGACGGAGCGCTACAGGGGGCCAGAGGGGAGGAAGCTCTGCATACACGGCGCCGTCAACAAAAAAAGAGAAAAAGGCACCGAAACAGTTACAGCTTGCTTCTATCCTAATTCAAAATTGAAATCACCATATCCGCGCGTGAAAGAGCGATGTGGGAAAAGAAAATCCTACGCCTATTCGTTTCCGGACGAAATTCCGAAACTTTTCTCCGACGCGACCAAGAACACTCACACACTCGAAAAGGACACGTCAAAGTTCTGCTTATCCCAGAATTCCCAGCCGCTGAGCCCAATTCCCAATGCAATCGCTAAAGCGCACGTAAATTCCCATGTATTTCCCGACTTTGCAAAAAAAAAAAACAGAACCCAGAAGCTGAAAAAGCTTTAAAAAAGAAAGGAAAATGCGGCACCCGAAAGCAAGAATACAAAATGGGGTTTTTCCCGGGTTTCGTACGATACAAGCAAAAGAAATCAGAACCAAGGCCACACGGTCGAGTTTGCGCGCGGCCACGCCATGCCCAGGCAGGGGCGCACGCTAAAAATCGGCGCTTGGCCTGCACAGGTCGGCAACTATTGCCCTGCATAAAAAAAAAAAAAAAAAAAAAAAAAAAAATTGGAGGGATTGTATTTGATAGGTATCAAAAAAGAAATAAAAAAATAGAAAAAAAATATATTTA